CCTGGGGTGGAGATGTACAGCTGGGTGTCATCAGCGTAATGATGGTACTTCACCCCAAAGCCATGGATGATCTCACCCAGCGGCTTCACATAAATGTTGAACAAAAGGGGCGAGAGGACCGACCCCTGAGGCACTCCACAAATGAGAGGCCTTGAGGTCGACCTCTGCCCCCCTGCCAACACGAACTGCGACCGGTCTGAGAGAAAGGAGGAGAACCACCGTAACACAATGCCCCCATCCCCAACTCTTCCAACCAGTGCAGCATGATACCATGGTTGATGGTATCAAAAGCCGCTGAGAGGTCTAACAGGGCCAGAACAGAGGAACAGCCTCTGTCCCCAGCCCTCCAGAGATCATCTACCAGCGCGACCAATGCCATTTCCATGCTGTGCCCAGACCTGAAACCCGACTGGAATGGATCTAGATAAGATGTTTCCTCCAGGAATTGTGGAAACTGTCGCGCGACCACACTCTCAACAACCTTCACCACAAAGCGAAGGTTGGAGACAGCACGATAGTTGGCTAATACTGCCGGGTCCAGGGAAGGCTTCTTGAGGAGAGGCCTCACCATTGCCTCTTTCAAGGCAGCAGGGAAGTGACCCTCACTCAATGAAGTGTTGATAATTCCCTGGAGCCAGCCTCATGTAACCTCCCGGGAAGCCAGTACTAACCAGGAGGGACACGGGTCCAGTAAACATGTGGCCGCACTAAGTCTCCCCAAAATCCTGTCCACATCATCAGGAGTCACAGAGTCAAACTCTTCCCAGATAATATTCTCAAGACTATTCCTCGTCACCCTGCCCGAATCTACCCAGTCAGAGTCCAAATCCCCCCGGATCTGAGCGATTTTGTCATACAGGTATTGTCCGAAATCCTCAGTCCTGCCTTCCAGGGGGTCCTCCTGCACTCCAGGATGGAGCAGGGAGCGGGTCACCCTAAACAGGGTGGCCAGATGATTCTCTGATGATGCAATAAGAGCGGAAAAATAGTTACACTTTGCCACTTTTATCGCCACTAGGTAGGTCTTAATATGCAACCTTACCAGTGTTCGGTCAGATTCAGCGAGACTGGCGTTCCAACCACTCTCCAAGCATCTTTTCCGGCGCCTCAGTTCCTCGGTAAACCAAGGAGCCACGAGGGATTGGCACCGGGTCAGAGGCCACAAAGGCACGATCCAAGGCCCCACCAGCCGCCGGATCCCAGGCAGCCACCAGGTCCTCAGCCGAGTCATGTGCCAGATCCTCAGGAAGTGGCCCAAGCTCCATCTGGAACCTATCAGGATCCATCAGGCGCCTGGGGCGGACCCATCTTGTTGGCTCCACCTCCCTGCGGCGGGGTGTAGCGCTTCAAAGGTCCAGGCGAAGGAGTGAGTGATCTGACCATGACAAGGGTTCCATGTCTATATCCCCTATAACAAGACCACTCAACCACTGGCAGAGACAAAAATCAAGTCCAGAGTGTGACACCCCCTGTGGGTGGGGCCATGAACTAACTGGGTCAGGTCCATGGCCATCATGGAAGCCATGAACTTCCGAGCCATCTCAGATGTTTCACCAATGGATGGCAAGTTGAAATCACCCATGACCATAAGCCTGGGTGTATCAACTGGCCACTGCCAATATGAAAAGATTATATAATATATTGATAGAAATAGATTCAGAAATAGAATTAATTAAGGATTGTATGATAAGCGCTCCATAGCTTAGGGCCAGGGTACTTACGGGACCACCTTCTGCCACCAATAGCCTCCCACCGGCCGGTTCGCTCCCACAGAGAGGGCCTCCTCAGGGTGCCATTGGCCAGACAATGCCGGCTGGCGACCCCCAGGAGGAGACCCTTCTCTGTGGTGGCACCTACCCTATGGAACAATCTACCCCCAGAGATACGAGTGATCTCCGACCTCCTGACTTTTCGTCGGGCCCTAAAAACTTATTTTTTTCAGTTAGCCGGTCTGTCTTGATTTTAGGGTTAGTTTTAAAATTTTAATATTGATTTTAAATTGACAAGTTTTAAATTACAGGCCAAATTTATAAATTATTTTAACTCTATTTTTTAACTGTAATGTTATGTATAGATGTTTTTATTTTGGCTGTTCACCGCCCTGAGTCCGAAAGGAGAAGGGCGGTATAGAAATTTGAATAATAAATAAATAAATAATAAATAAAATGGGCACAAAATATTCAGGAACCAATAATGTTGGAAACTTGGGAAAAAATACGGGTTAGAAATGTGAAATTTACGCAAGTGCAAAATTTAAGAGAAAATTTTTATAAAATGTTTTACAGATGGCATTTAGACCCTAAAAAGCTAGCCTGTATGAATCCGAATTTGCAATCTAAGTGTTGGAGATGTGATTGTGATGATGCCACTTATTATCATATACGGTGGACTTGTAAAAAAGTTAAAGCATTTTGGATAAAAATATGGTGGATTATCCAAAATATTCTTAAAAAGAAGATAAGGTTTACTCCACAGTTGTTTTTGTTGGGTATAATTACAGATTGTACGGTTATAGAGACTAAATTGATTTTGAATTTAATAACTGCAGCTAGACTTTTGGTGGCGCAATATTGGAAGAAGGAAGATTTGCCTACTATTGAAGAATGGACATTAAAAGTAGCAAATTTAGCAGAAATGGCAAAAATTTCAGCATATTTGAAAGACTATTCACAAGAAAGATATATATCGGAATGGAGAAGATGGATTGATTATATTCAAAACAAATATCGGACTAAAAAGTATCAAATAGCTTATGAATGAATAGAAAAATTAAGAGTATTCATATTTAGTTAAGTAAAAGGGGAGTTAAAGTGTGAAGTGGGGGATAGGAGTCCATAGCTAGCTAGCTTAGCTTAGTATATGATTGTTAATTGTTATACCCTGTATTTTGTTCTGGGAAGTTCGGGGGTGGGGTCGGGGGGGAGGGTAAGGAAGGAAGGGGGGGATGGGGAAATATTTGTAAAAAATTTTGTAAAACTCTTTAATAATAAAAAAAAAGATGAATGCTTTTTTTGTTTAAGATAATACCAATACTTGCAACTGATATTCCATTTAAACAATGGCAGAGGGATATCTCAAAGTTTATATGGCAAGGGAAAAAAACCAAGAATTAGATACAGATTTTTGCAAGATGCTAAAGAAAGAGGGGGTCTGGATCTACCAGATTTGAAATTGTATTTTGATGCCTGCTGTTTGGTCTGGTTAAAAGAATGGGTGAACCTTCAGAATTAAAAGATACTGGACTTAGAAGGCCATGAATTAAGATTTGGTTGGCACGGTTATCTATGGTATGATAAAGTTAAAGTAAATGTTGATTTCAGCAATCATTTTGTCAGATGTGCTATTTGAGAGTTTGGAATAAATATAAAACATGGTTTTCCATGAAGGTGCCTCTTTGGGTTTCCCCACAGGAAGCTTTGTTTAGAAAGGAAATGGTGACAAGGCTAAACTGGTAGACTTATGGTAAAATAATATCTTTTAACTTAGGGGACCCTACCCTCAAATCTAAGGAGGAGCTAGAATCAGAAGGTCATGTTTGTCATTGTTTTACACATTTACAATGGAAAGAAAGATTTAAATTAGATAAAAAGAATCATGAGTTTAACTTTGTTAAAAATGAATTAGAAACTCTACTGTGTGGTAGTGATGAACATATTATTGTTAAAGTTTATAAAGTGTTATTGAATTTAAATCTGGAAAATGAACAAGTAAAACATTGTATAATTCAGTGGGCAAGGAATTTTGGATATAATGCTTGAACAGTGGGAGAATATGTGGAATAAAGGTTTAAAGTTTACATTAAACTATAATTTAAAAGAAAATTTCTATAACATGATGTATCATTGGTATTTAACTACAGATAAATTGTCAAGAATGTATAAAGGCACTTCAAATGAATGTTGGAAATGTAAATGAAAAGAAGGGATTTTTCATCATTTATGGTGGACGTGTGATAAAGCAAAGAAATATCAGAGTAGGATTCATATCTTAATACAGAAAATTCTTAAAGTGAATATAGGAAGAAAACCAGAAACTTTTCTTTGGGGTTTAACGAAATAAGACTTGGGAAAAAAATTCGGAACTCTGATGTTATATATGTTGACGGCAGCAAGACTACTTTACGAACAGAAATGGAAGGTTACCTCGATCCCCACAATGGATGAATGGCTGCAAAAAGTGATGGAGTTAGCAGAAATGGCTAAATTGACTGTTTTAATTAAATTAAAGAAAAAAACCACAAATACCTTTATTTCTACTTGGAAACCTCTTCTGGACTTTGTGCTTGAGGTGGAAAAAAATGAAACTTTGATTTTGGGTTTTACCGATTAGATTTGTTGCTATAGAAATGGCTAATTTATTATATTATTATTAAAAAGTAAAAAGTTGAGAGTAGATATTAATGCCTTATTTTACTGCACCAAAGGAGTTGGAAGCCAATGCCTTTTTTTTCTTTTTCCCTTGCTTTCCCCCACTATCCACTTCCCTTTTTCCTTCCCTAATTTCCCTAATATTTCTTCTGTATTCTCTTTGTATATCATATTATAGATTAATAAAAAACTATATTAAAACAAACAAATAAACAAAACAACTATAGCCAAAAAGTCATAAAATTGGATAGGTCACATGATGATCCTTTTAATGACTGGCACAACATTACAGTTGTAATTTCAGGCTTGGTTACATTCTTAACTCAAAGACTACTTGTAAAGTGAACTGAGGCCAGGGCAAACATTTATAAAATCCACAAACAACTAGGCCATTTTGTAAATCCATAAATCTAGTGCTGGTAGTAAATAACTTTATCTGTTTGTCAAATTCACACACTTTTTTTCCTTTTTACCATTTGTAAAACTAGCATATACTAACTCAGGAGAATAATTGATTAGATTATAATTTTAATTGAAACAAGTAAACAAGCATAACATAATGATATAATGTTGTCTAAGAATGATTAACTTGAAAAATTAATTTATCTTCCCCTAAAGAATTGACAAAAATACCTGTTTAAAGTTGCCACTACGTCTTTGCTCCCAGTCCATCATATCATGAAAAATAGGAATGACAACATTCCGCAGATCAGGCTGAGGTATCAATGTCACTTCTAAGAAAGGGCTGATCAGTGCTGGGATGAAGTAGATTTTGTGTTCTCCTAAAAGGTAAGAGGATACATTGAGTGGAACTATTCTCAAGAACAAAATACTAGAGGAAAGAACTCTAGTTTTATGAAGATTTATGTTTGGAATTGGACTAAGAATGTACAGCCTGTTTTGCTCAGTAGTTTTTCCAATACAGTTTTTTTCGATAAATACAAATAAAGCAAACAAACAAATAAATAGAAAAGATGCACATTAGCTCAATTTACATAATTACAATAGAAAATGAAAAGTAAAGATTATTCTGTCCATATAATTTCTAGTACTTTTTTGAAATTTCAACTGAACATATTGCATTAATGTGAAATCTAACTACAGTAGTGACCAAAATTGCGGAAACCTTTTGGGAAAGGTGCATTTTTGAGGTTTGATGGCTATAATAACACCACAAATTCTATATAAATGGAAAGATAATTTAATCAAGAATGTAATGCAAAAACGTTTGTTCAATTATCTGTATTCTATGAAAAGTTATAGCCAAATAACCAGAAAAAGGAAGGACAACTTGCTTAGGTTGATATCAGATAGCTTTCCTTCATCTGAGTGTAGCCAATGAGCATGAGTGTTTAAAAAGCCAATCAAGTGTCATCTTGTTTTGGCAATGAGCCAATCAGATCACAGTAGGATTCAGTTATTGATGTCATGTATTGAAGCTAAGAGGAGGACATTTTCAGTGAGTTATGTGATCGCTATCTAGTTGGTTGGGATTTTTTGTGTTCTTTCATTTAGTGAGCTTGTAAAACGTAATAAAATTAAATTAATGGTGCAAAGAGTTGACTGGTCACCCAGAGAGCGGTATAAAATAGTATTATTAAGTGAACAAGGCTACAGTTATAAAGCAATTAGAAGAAAAATTGGTGGAAACTTAACCAAAGGTGGCATTTCTAAATTTTTGAAGAGGTATAAGGAGACTCAGTCACTACAAGACTAGGAAAGGCAAGAAAAGGTGCACAACAGCAAGTGATGATATAAAAATTAAAAGACTGTGCCTACATGACAGAAGAAAATCATCTGGGTGTATACAAGATGAAATGGCGCAATGCAATGTGAAGTTAAGTGCAAAGACTGTTCGGCACAGACTGCAGGAATTTGGCCTAAAATCTAGAATTCCACGAAAAAAGGCACTTTTATCTCTCAAACAAAGATTGAAAAGCATTACATTCTTGATTAAATTATCTTTCCATTGATATATAATGTTATGGTACTTCTCAAAAAAAAAAAAGTGGTGTTATTAGCCATCAAACCTTAAAAATACACTTTCCCCAAAGGGTTTCCACAATTTTGGCCATTACTGTACCTAACACCATCCCTTCCCCAGAATGCATTTCTGTTCTCTTTGGGGAGCATAGGAAGTTGGGAGATGGAATCTGGGAGACATCCTGCTCAATAATGCTTAGGGGCTGTGTTACGAGGATTGATGGATCAGGCCCAATGAAGAGACTTGAGTCATCGGATTAAATATATCTCTTTTATTTACAGGTTCTGCACATCATCACTAGTTACATCAGGATCTGGACAACATGGAGGAGTGTGCCCACCTTTTATACCTGTGGGCGGGGATTCAGGTAAGGAGGGGTCTATGGGAGGAGCTGACCAGTTGGATGTCTGGGTTAACCCCTGCACTACTGAGCTATAGCTGATCCTTGGCACGGGCAGGGCATTTATACCTGACAAATCCCCCTCTAAATGCCTGACCTGTGTCTGTGATCCTGACTGACTGTGTGGTGCCTTGAGGCGAATGTTGAGCTTGGAAACTAAGTGTGAGTGTTGTTTGCCTTGTAGAGGTTTTGTGAGTATGTCTGCGGTCTGTTCTTCTGTATCGCAGTGTATGGCCTTTATGAAACCGATTCTGGAGAGCTGTCTCACGTGTTTATACTTTATGTCTATGTGCCTTGACCTTTGCCCTACAGCGTCGGACATGGATATTTCTATGGCGGCCTTGTTTTCCTCGTAGATATTTATTGGGTAAGCTGGTTCTCTCCACACGCTGGCGAGTAGGTCGTCGAACCAGATGAGATTGTTGGCGGCTTTGGAGAGGCATATGTACTCGGCTTCAGTGGTCGAGGTTGCCACCAAGATTTGTTTACCTGTGTACCAATGCACCGGACTGTTATTTAAGTAGAATATGTACCCAGACGTGCTTTTCCGGCCTTTGGCATCTCCGGCCCAGTCAGTATCAGTGTAGCAGGAGAGGATGGGTTCGTCGGATTTTTCAGGCTCTAGGGTTAAGCATGCATTGGCACTTTGTTTCAGGTATCTTAGCACCCTTTTCACCGCGTCCCAGTGGTATGTGGTGGGTTTGCTCACGTGCCTGGACAGTAAATTAACAGATAGAGCAATGTCCGGTCTTGTCCAGTTAGCGATATACAGGAGGGAGTCTATGACTGACCTGTACAGCGTGTTGTCTCCAAATTCGGGTGATTCATCATGCATGTTTTTTAGGAAGTCCGTCTGCATGGGTGAATCGCACCCCTTGGCGTCTGCCATGTTGCATTTATGGAGTAACTCTTCTATTTTCTCTTTCTGTGACAGTTGGAAACCTTTTGGTGTTTGGTTGACTTGTACCCCCAGGTACCGGTTTATCCTTCCAAGGTATTTTAGGGTGAAATGCTCGCTCAGTCTGCTGGCGAAGGTGTTGCGGTTCCCTTCGTGCTTGCTGATATATAGTATGTCATCCACGTAAACTAGGATGTATTCTGGCGAGTCCCCCTCTTTCCTGGTGAAGAAGCAGTTGTCAGCTATGGTCACCGTGAATCCCATAGACTTTAGGGCCTCTACCAGGCATTCGTACCAGTGTTTGCCTGATTGCTTTAACCCGTACAGGTTCTTGTGAAGTAACCAGGTGTCCCCTCTGTTGGTTTCTTTGCTGTGGGGCGCTCTGATGTATATTTCTTTGTCTAGTTTGGCGTGCAAGTAGGCGGTTTGCACGTCAAACTGGTGTACCTCCAGCCCTAGCAGGGATGAGATGACCAAGGCGCTTTTGACGCTCTCTGTTCTTACGGTGGGCGAATAGGTGTCTGTGTAGTCCTCCGGAAACCTTTGAGCAAACCCCTGGGCAACTAATCTTGCTTTGTATAGGCTTTGGCCACCCTCTAAGTTCTTGATCTTGAAGATCCATCGGGTGCCTATTGTGTTCTTGCCCTCTGGGACTTTGGTGTGGGTGTAGACCTCTAGCTTCCTCAGACTGTCCAGTTCTTTGGCCATGGCTAATTCCCACTTTGTCCTCTCCCCCTGGGGTAGTCTCAGTACCTATTCGTAGGAGTTTGGCGTAACGTGATTCGTGTGCACGTGCATCACGTAATCATTTAGCCTTCTTGGCAGTTGGTTCCTGGTTGACCTGACCGGTCTGACTACTGTCTGCTCAGTGTCATGCAGGTATCTGGCCTCTCTTTGTGTCAGTGAGTCGACACTTATCTTGGGATGATTCTCTTTCCATCCCTCAACCTTGATGCCTTGGAGGTTGGGCTTGGGCCTGCTCCCTTCCTGTCTATCCACTGTCTCGCTTTTGTTTTGAGCTTGCTCGATTGGACTATCCTCTCGCTTGGTGGGTACCTCGTTTAAGTGTATTCTGGACCAGTTGGCTTGCTCATGGAATGCCGCTGTTCTAGATACCACAAATCTATTATTGCTGTCCACAAACCTGAAGCCCTTGGTTCCCGGCTCGTATCCCATAAACCTCAGTCTTCTGGATACCTTATCCCCTTTCTTGCGCAACTGCTTGGGTATGTGTACATCAGCAGTTACGCCGAATACATGTAAGTGTGCTATCTGAGGCTTCTTGCCATACATGAGCTCGTATGGTGTTTTGTCTATCACACTGGACCATGTTCTGTTAAGTGTGTAGTTGGAGTAGACCAGGGCTTCAGACCAGAAGTGTTGGCCAAGGCCCGCGTCCTCTAAGGCGCACCTGACCATTGTTTGGAGCGTGGAGTTCCGTCGTTCTACGACCCCGTTCTGAAAGGCGGAGAACGGGGACGACGTAAAATGAATCACGCCTTTGGACCTGAGCCAATGGGAGAAGTCCTTAGATAGAAACTCAGATCCTCTGTCGGTCATGATTTGTTTGATTCGGGTGTTGTTTTGGGTTTCTACTCTTTTGTAAAACTCCTTGAATTTTTGGAAGGCCTCATCCTTTTTTCTTAAGGTATAGACGAAGCCATATCGACTACAGTCATCCACTATAGTGAGGAAGTACCTTTTCTTATAATTTACGGATGGCCTTAGGGGCCCTACCAGGTCCATGTGGACTAAGTCGAATATTTGTTTGGCGGCACGTAACAACTTCTTGGGTCTGGGTTTTACCTTTAATTTAGAACATTTGCACACCGAGCACTCGAGGTAGTTTTGACAGTTTTTTATTTTGATACCCTCGGTACAATTGGCCATTTTCTGGACCACGGGAAAACTGGTGTGCCCTAGCTTCCGGTGTAGCAGGTGAGCGCAGTCGTCATGTATGGGTTTGCCTATTGAGGGACCCCTTTGGGTGTGTCTCTTGTGTTGTGTTTCTTGCGTCGTGTTACTATCGCTATCTATTTCTCTCCCGTCTACCTGTTCCCCCTCAGTCCTGCCCTGGTCAGTGTCCTCTGTGTTCTCTGAACTGGTGTATACGCTGTGGGTGTCATTTTCATAGAAAGTTATATAAGGTAACCCTTGGTTGACGGTTACTCTCCCTATATCTTCCCCTTCCTTGCTAACTTTGACATTACCTTTTGTAAAAGTCACCTCAACCCCTGATTCCTTGCTAAGCTTTACTGCGGCTAGGATGTTATGGGGTATCTCCGGGACTAGCAGTACCCCCTCTAATTTCCCTACGCATGGCAATGTAACTGTCCCCTTGCCCGTCACTCTAACCTGGTTTTGGTCCGCAACTTTGATTGAAAAGTCCTCCCTCTTGAATGATGAGAGTAGTTTCTGATTGTAGGTGGTGTGGTTGGAGGCTCCCGAGTCTAGGAGCCATGAGCTGGTGCCTTTGTCTTGATGTGTGGTGTGTGTGTGCTCCCCTATCCCGTATAAGGATCCTGTCCTGCTGTCGCGCGAGCTATCTCTGTTCCCTCTCCTGTCCCTGGGATTGGGTGAGTCCCTGCGCTTATACCTTTCTTCAGATGTGTGCCTTTCCGTTTGTCTGTACCTATGCTCTGGCCTGCCCCTCTCCCTATAGTTCTTGGGGCAGTCCCTTTTGATGTGTCCCCTCGACCCACAGATGTAGCACTCTGGCGTGTTGTGCTGTTTCTCTTGGAAGGCTACTCTCTTCTCACTCTTATGTTCTCTGGGAGGGCCAGGGCGGCTCCTTCTCAGATTATCTTCCGCGATTAGCTTGTTGGATAGCTTCTCCACGGATAGCATTCCTAGACTAACGGTGTCTAAGTGTGTTAAGAAGTTATTCCATGAGTGATCTAAAGAGTTAATTATCACGCTTTTCATGATCTGGTCGGAAATAACTTCTCCCCTAAGGTGTAGCTCTGCTCTGGTACCGCTTAAGGACACTAGGTGCTCACTCATGGGGGTCCCTGGCTTAAGTCTGGCGGAAAAGAAGTCTTTGGAAATTTGTGTGGTGGTGGACACACTCTCACTGTAAAATAACCCAAACATTTTCCCTATAATTTCTGATACCTGTGAGGTTATGGCCAATACAGTGGTAAATTGTGGGGGATATGCTGGCAATTAAAAGATAGAATGCCCTATGGTGCATGCAATCCAGCTCTAAAGTCCATGGCCTCTCTGGGGGGTCATTAATAAAATGAGACATGTTTTCTTTTAGGAACACCACCTGGAGCTGCTGTGACCACTCTAGGATATTGCCCCCATCCATTCTCAACTTAGGAAAGTCTATTGGTAAGTTCCCAGCACTATTTGTAAAATTACTTACTGCTGGCTGCTGTCCATGGTTCCTTATGTGCCTATAGCAGCAGTAAGGCATGGGAACGCTTGCCGGTAGTTAAAAGTCCCGCTTTGTAATTTTTTTCTTTTTTCTTCTTCTAGGCGAAAGAGCGCATGCGCGAAGTCCATTTCAGCTCCGCCGTCGCCGTGGAAGGACCTGTTCATCGCGGCTCCGGAGTAGAGGCCTCTATCGGTCGGGTAGGCCTCGGCTTCAGTCTTGGGGGTCCAGGTGTGCTCCAGAAGACGTCATCCAGCAGCTGCTTCTCCGGAATGAAGATCCTGGCGGCGCTGAAGCTCCGGTGATGGCTGTAAGTAGCTGCCCCAGTCCATGCGGTCTGGTGTGTGCGGCCTGGGCGATCGGAGGCGCGGTGTCCCTGGGGTGCGTAGGTGGGCTGGCGAGCTGACACGGGCGTCGGTGGCTCTCGGGTGGGTGCTTCGTTGCCCCTCTCCTCGCCTTCCCTTCTGTTTTGGCCTCTCCGGTTTCTCTTTTGTAATTTTGAGGCCTGGGCCGAAGGCGGCGGCAAGGGTCTTCATGGCCCTATCTACTTGCCGCTCGCTGGGGGTGTACCAGGGGTCGGAGTCGGATTCTGTCCCCTCTCCCCGGTCACTTTCATCATGTCTCATGTTCCGGCATTTTTCGTGCGCCGGCCATTTTGAATTCTGGCTGCCGATTGGTTGGGGGGTCGGCCATCTTGTCCGACCACGTGGACAAAGATGGCCGCCGTTTCAAATCTTGAGCGGGGCTTCGGGGCTCGGTGGCCGTTGGGGGTGCCCTTTTGGGCGATCCACTCACCGAGTCCAGCTCCTCGAGTTCGGAGTTGGAGTCTTCTTCGCTCCTTGCCACCTCACGGTCGATTATGAAGCTCCGCAGGTCGGCAAGGAGGTTCTTGTCGCCGGCTCGCTCTTTCAACAGCTGCAGGACGTCGAGTCGCAGCTTTTCTTCTTCTTGGTCGTTGTGGTGAGTCCTTTTCTCTTTCTGGATCTCCCCCTTTCCTTCCATCGCGGTGGTTTTGGGGGCGGTCAGGGTTCCTACCTTCCCTGGCGAGTCCGATGGGTTGCCTTCCCGTTGCTTCGGAGGTGTCGCCATTCCGCAGGTAGTTATGCGTCCTTGTCTTGTGGTTTGGTGTCACTGGGCCTTACAAACCATCCTCTGCTACCATATTGTTACGAGGATTGATGGATCAGGCCCAATGAAGAGACTTGAGTCATCTGATTAAATATATCTCTTTTATTTACAGGTTCTGCACATCATCACTAGTTACATCAGGATCTGGACAACATGGAGGAGTGTGCCCACCTTTTATACCTGTGGGTGGGGATTCAGGTAAGGAGGGGTCTATGGGAGGAGCTGACCAGTTGGATGTCTGGGTTAACCCCTGCACTACTGAGCTATAGCTGATCCTTGGCACGGGCAGGGCATTTATACCTGACAGGCTGTGGGACAAACAGAGAAGTAGGACAAAACTGCTGGAACATTTTTGGAAGAGCTACAATGTATTTCTAAAATCAGGCTTTTGGGGAGCATACACAGTATTAGTCAGCAAGAGCAATTTGACTTATTGGCACTAACATAAATAAAATATATTTTACAGTTTCAGTAATATTAATCTAATATTGAGCAAATATCACCAATCAAATAATTCCTTCTTTCATATAGATCAAAAACTATGTAAATAACACCAATTTATATTTCCTGAAATACATAGAAGTTTCTTCATTCATAGTACACCTATACCATCACAACCTGGTATCTATACATACATAAGACAATACCAGTCTACCTTCATTCAGATCTATTACACTTGATTCTTTCTTTTAGTTTTACAAACAGGCAAAATATCTATTTTTCTTTCTTTCATTTCATTCATTAATGCATATATACTCCTCATATATTGTACATGCCACGGTTGCCATACATGATAATCTACCTTCCATTACAAGGTTTTCATGTAATACTTGTAATAACAAGTGTAAAAAATATATTATTAAAGTATGTTATTAAAGAAAGAACAAGCTTGGTTACCAGCCTTTATTATGCAATATGCCACATTCCCACGTAAGCACACAATACCAATCAGTTTTGGCACATTTTGGCCACTATGCCTTAAGAATCACTAAAGCCTAGTTGTAGGAGAGAGACTGCCTGAGCCAGGGGAAGGATTCAAAGGAGGAATTAGTTTAGAGTCTTTAAATGGGCACAAGTGGGTGAAGTCCAACCTTCTTTGAATGCTGTTGAACTTTATCTAGTTTTACCTAGGTGCAAAACCTCAGACTGAGGAAATTCTTGTATATAGGCTTGAGCAATAAAATGGCTAATCAAACTCTTCACTATTTACACCTGACCATTATATGTCAAACTACTGAAATTATTGCATGTATTTCTAATTCAAAGGCTGCCTTGCCCACATCCCATGAACTAGGTGACATGCAGGAGTACTGACCATTTCTGCATAGAGAATGAACATTTTTGCATAAAACATTTCCTAAACACACATACTGAAAGTCAAACATTTATACAAATTTAAAACCTAAGCCATATAATTAATCTTACCTAAATTTTGCCACATGCTGAAGATTTCACATCCCATTGTCACCCGCATATCACCATATCTGTTACATTTTAAAAAAATCAGGTCAGATAATTAATATTCACTTTCTCATGAAACTTACTTTTTGTATGTCTGCAGCAAGTAAGAAATTTGTTATTATAGAAGGGAAAAAAACCAAGAGTTTTCACAAAATACTTATTAAAACAGGAAATGAAAAGCAGCTAGAAAATCACAACACATCACAGAAAGAATACTTCTGAACTATTCAAACACTGTGCCTGCATCCAATAACGGACAAGCATTTGTGGAAGACAACTGCAGATATTATTACAGACGGTTTGATGCTGCTCATGTTCTTACTGCTGAAGAATCAAAGTGGTTGTCAGTCTCTATGTTGTTTGCTTGCTATCAGCTGCCATAGTAATACCCATTACTATGATATTTGGGATACAGGTATTTGGGAGGGGGAAGTGAGCTGGTGGAGATGTCTCATGAAAGGGGGGAATTTTCTCATCATCTTCGGCACAGCTGAATGGAGTTGGTGATAGTCTGTCAAGGTCAACCGTTCTGGCATACCAGAGGGATGGGACCATCTGAAGATGCACCTCACATGTTGCCTTGGGGGGCTAGGGATTGGACATTCAGCCAGGGTCCTTGGGGGTAAGGATTTGGGAATAGTTTCAATAGGTAATTTTCGTGCCTACTGCCTCAGATCTTGTTTTCAGATCCCTATAAGTGATACTGTCATTCAGTTGGGAGAAGTGGTGGGGGGGCTTGGATTTGATTTATTAGCATTGCCTGTGTCAACAGGTATTTTACAACCTATATCCTGGCACCAAAGCATCCTGAGATCCTCTTAACTTTGGGGAATGTTTATGACAGCCATGTGGATTGTTTCACTTTAAAGGATAATGGAGGATAGCAATGGGACTATATACTTATCCGGTTCTCAGGGCAGCTGGTAAAGAAAACATCTTCACATTTGTATATTGGCTAAAATCTACATTCTGGCTAAAGGGAGGAGTCTCTACTGCTTTAATCCTACTTGTCTTGCCTAAGCGTATTCAGACGTTGCTTTGAATCCATTGCTGTCACTTCTGCTTAATAAAAGGTTCCTTTTGAAATACTATGTTTCAAGAGTTTTTACTTTCTTAAATTGGAAGGAGAGGCAGTCCTTACACTTGATTTCCTTTTGTTGCATTCAGTTCATGCTCAGTAAAAGTACCTTTCTCTACAAACATGGAGTTGGGGTTTTTCGTTCTTGAGTTTTGAACAGAGGCACTTTTGACATTAAGCAAGATCTGCTTTAACAGCCATCCTGGAGAAAACTCTACCGTGGGGGCTGAGCAAAGAATGTCTAACCAAGCCAGTGGCCAGGAGGACATGGCAGCTACTGCATCCACTCCCCCCCAGTTTTGCTGCAGCTGGGAAACATTGGAGTGGATGTCTGAATTACAGCTTGAAGAAAAGCTGGTTAGAGCCAAATAGTCGCTGGGCGTGGAGGATGGAGGATGGAGGCTCCAGAAGAGATCCTTCCTGGGGTGACAGCTACCAGACACTGGCATGGTAGCTGTCTGGAGGAAGAGGATAAAGAAGACCTCCTGCTGACCCAGGCTCTGCATAAGCTTTTGAAAGTCGGAAAACATGTGAAAGGTATGCATTGCCTGCATGGGGGGGGGGGCTGAACACCCAGGGGGGGAAGCAGAAGCAGAAGCCTCTGCATGCCCAGAAGAGATGCCTAGAGCATGGCCAGAGCTAGCGCAAGCTGCTGGAACTCAAGTGGCAGCTGCAGCCCAGCCCCCCCCCCCCCCGGTGGGCGGGTAGTCCCCCAGAGGCATCGAATTCCAAAGGTTCCTCAGCTAGCAGTAAAATATGGAGGAGATCTCAAGGCTTTGGGATTCTTCCTAACCCACATGTGGAACCATATGCAAGAATATGGAGGGGATTTCACATTAGAAGCAGCTCACATAGCATCGAAGTCTGACAGTGTGTCACCATGGCCCTGGAGGGGATAGCAGCTGATTGGATGGTGGTTCTCCATAACAAGGATTCCCCCCCACTGAGGAATTACAACCAGTTTATGACAGCCCTCCAAGTGTGCTTCGAGGACCTATTAGCTGAGCGAAAGGCTAGAATCAGGATGAAGTCTATAAATCAGGGGCGGACATCGGTGGCAAAATACACCCAGGAGTTTCGCGAGCTGGTACACCACATGAGGGGGTGGTCCCAGGAGGCCCTGATGGAATTTATAAGGATGGCCTCAATGAAGATGTCTACAAAGACTGCTGCTCTTGAGCCCCCCCCCCAAGACCTGCAATGCTGATATGTGTTGGCAGCCGACGTGGAAATTGACCTGGCAAGAAATCGCTACCATGGGGGCCGTGCCTGGAACAAGCCTTCCTCCTCTTCCCAGAAAGAGGCTTCCAGAGTTGTCAGAGGGGGTTCAGCTCCTAAGCCTAAATCCAAAGTGTGGTTCAGATGTGGGAAGGGGACACTGGGCTGTGGATTGTTTCTCCAAGCCGACTCCTGCTGGAGGGAAGAGAGCCTACAAGTCACCAGCAAAGAACCATGAAACAGCCCTAAAGGGGGTGGAAGTCATTTAGGTCACTCCCCCAGGCCTGGGGGAGTTGGGAGCTCCGACCACTGCAGGGGACATCAAAACCAAAACTGACACCAACAATGACTCCCTGGTAAGTCAGCATGGGGCCCCATGACCATCCTGGTAGAACTAAGGATATAATCATCTGGTGCCCAGGGGAAGATGCTAGCCCTCTTAGACTCTGGGTGTACTAGGTGTGTCATCAGCCCAAAGGTGGTGGAAAAAATGAGTCTGAGACTAAAGAGAATGAAAGTGTCCATTGCGTTTTGCCAGTTGGATGGGTCAGTAGCTGGGGGAGCAGCTCACTTTGTGACAGAACTGATTGAAATATGGATGGGGGACCACCGAGAGGTCTTGAGTTTTATCATGGCCCCAGGCATGGAACGACCCCTCTTGCTTGGACTGCCCTGGCTCCGAAAATGGAATCTGCAGGTGAATTGGAGGAAAGGCATCCGCTCCACCCACCAGGGGAAGGAAGGGGGAAAACCCTTCTGCTTGGCCAAAGCCGTGAAGGAGTTGGCAGTGGCAGTGAGCGAATGCATTGCTGGGGAGGAGAAAATCCCTAAGGAATATTGGGACCTCATGGAGGCTTTTAGCGAGAGGGTGTCAGGTGTGCTCCCACCTCACCGGCCCACGGACTGCACCATAGAAATCCTCCCAGGGGTGAAGCTCCCAAAACCAAAGATCTACTCCATGACCCCTCTTGAACTAGAGGACCTGCGGACCTTTATTGATAAAAACTTAAAATGCGGCTTCATCCAACCAGTTAGGCCACAAGTGGCTGCCCCGATATTGTTCCGGGAGAAAAAAAGATGGCTCTCTTCGCTTTTGTGTTGACTATAAAAATCTGAATGCCATTTGCATCACAAACATTTACCCACTGGCCCTTATGAAGGACATGTTAGCTCACCTGAGCAAGGGGAAGATTTTCACTAAGCTGGACTTGAGAAAGGCTTACTACAGAGTTCGAATTAAGGAAGGGTACAAATGGAAAACTGCCTTCAATTGCCCCCTGGGTTGTTTCCAGTTTAGGGTGCTCCCCTTTGGACTGCAAGGGGCCCCGGTGGTGTTCATGCAATTGATTAATGAGGTACTACATGGGGGTCCTGGTCTACCTAGATGACATTCTTATTTACACTGAGACCACGGACGAACATGTGAAAATAGTGCAGTCAGTACTGAAAAAACTCAGGGTGGCTGAGCTATATGCTAAATTGTCGAAGTGTGAGTTCCATCAGAGTAAAATTGACTATTTGGGTTACCACATATCAAATGAGGGGATAGAAATGAATCCAGAGAAAGTCCGAGCATTCCTGGAGTGGGCGCATCCAGGGACCCGCAAGCAGCTGCATAGCTTTTTGGGTTTTGCTTTCTTTTATTGACAATTCATCCCCTCATTTGCAAAAAATGCATTACCAATTACCAATCTCCTAAAAACAAAGGGGGAGGCTAAGCCAAAGCCTAGCCGGCCACTAGACCACACTAGCCTGGTGTGCCAGGCGGCTTTTGAGAAACTGAAATGACTGTTTGCAGCCGAGCCTGTCCTCAAACACCCTGACATGGAGGCCCCTTTCGTAATCCAAGCCAACGCCAGCAATGTGGCCGTGCAGGTGGTGCTACTTCAAGTGAATGCTGATGGAACTTTACAACCTTGCATCTACACTTCCCGGAACCTGATTGAGACTGAAAGGAGATGGGCAATCTGGGAGAAGGAGGCTTTTGCAGTCCGCTGGCACTCCTGTAAGTGGTATCAGTAATAAATAACTTTTGTCTATAACCTTAGGAATCATCAATGCAAGCAAAGCAAAGATTTAATTACATACATCGTCATTTCTAATAAGTTGCCAGATCCCTATCGTGATACTGCCATTCCTGTGCATTTATTAGCTTATTGTCCTCTTCCTGTTTCCTATACATCCTGTATTCCCTTAGTTTATACAGTAACGTTTACCCTGGAACCTATGTGCCTTATGCTTGATTTACCTTTGAGGAATGTAATAAGGGGGGAGGGCCATCTGTTTTGTCTCAGTTCTGCAGGCTCCTGCAAGAAGCACCTCAGAATTGCTTCTTATCTCTTTCTCAGGCCTGCCATTCTCTCAACATCTTCGCATTTGTGGATGGCTCATTCAACATCGGAGTGAGGGGAGGGGTTTCTAACTGCTTTAGCCTAACTGAATTGCCTGGGGAGGGGAATTTAGATCCTGCTCTCCTTTGTCTTGCAATCACTTGCTTTCAATAAAAGTTTCCTTTTGAAATGCTTTCTTGAACGGGGAGGAGAGACTGGACCTTATACAAGCGCACGCTTCTTAGGGTTTGAATATATATTTTCCTGCAAGTTATTTCCATTAATTTCAGTGAGCTTTAATCATTGAATCAAAGTACTGTAAACCAGATATTCAAATTCAGTTTAGTCAATGTTGTCAGGTACATCCCACTAAAACATACTTAAGAAATCAAATGTACTTCAAATAATTCTGCCTTGAAAAACAAAATTCTGTCTCTCAGTAATAATCAACAGCAAATCTCACATAGTTTTGACAATTTTCAATCCTAATAATATTTTGTACAGAAAAAAATAAATGCCACAGACACTGATTTTCTCTATTTTTTTAAAAAAGCCCAAAAATTATACTTACTTTTCTAGTACTTTTTTTTTTCTTAGAAGGTGTGAACATTTCTAACTGTAGACAGAACTGATTTATAAATATGACAGCAAGGTAAAAATAAGAATCCCAAATCTGCAAATAGACAATAATTTGATCATTGCATTTCTTTTAAAGATACTATTAGTGTAGTTCAGGGGTGTAAAACTCAAGGCCCGCGGGCCGGATTCAGCCTGCAAAGTGGTTGAATCTGGCCTGCTGGGACATTGTGGAAAATGCAAGGGACCGGCCCACATTGCATCGGCCCGCCCCATCCCAGCAGGTGCGCATACACATGCTTCACTCTTCCACCAACATCTGAAGCTTGTCTGCCTCGCCACACCTGGGCCCCCAAAGCACACTATGCTCTAAGGCTTTGTGGAAAATGTCTGGAAGTCAATGGAGGGGTGCTTTGGTCTCTCCCCCAAAGGACAGACCCTAGAGATCTAACCAGCATTGCCTGCTAATGCTAAACTTTGGATGGATATTTCAAGCATTTTGAACTCTATTTCTGGGCTTTTTGGATGTTGGAGAGAAATATTTGCTTTTGTCACATAATTCTATTTATGCAATCCAATAATTTCTCCCAAACTTAATAAAGCATTAGTAAAGAATTGTAAATACATGTGTTTTAAAGAAGCATTATCCTTGTTACATCTCCAATGGATTGCTGTAAATATGTAGAAACAGTGTTTTTAAACTGGAGAGAAAAGGCTGGAGAAACTCCTCCTCGTATAAATGCTTACAACTGAATCTCTATTCAATTGTGGTACCTAGGATGTGTGGATAGAGTATCACTGCCTGTTTGACAGCATTAGCTATAAATCAGGGGTGAAATGCTCCCAGTTCGGACTGGATCAGGCGGTCCGGTAGCGATTGTGGCAGGTGGTTCGGATAACCGGTAGCAATGGCAGTGCGAGGCTCCACCCACCCGCCTGGGTATCATTACTTCCTGCTTTTAAAAGGTATAAAAAAGGCTCTGACAATTGCGCGCCACAGCTGTGATCATAAGAGCCTTTTTTTTCCTTTTAAAAGCATTTTTTACAACCTATTCACCCAAATAGGTTGTAAAAAAATGCTTTAAAAAAGTAAAAAAAAAGTTGGCCACACCCACCCAGTCACATTACCCCCCCCCAAGCCACGCCCACAGAACCAGTAGTAACAAATTTTACATTTCACCACTGCCATAAATATATAAAGATCAGAAGCCATATTTCACTAAGGCACTTGGCCTGTGCAGAGTTGCCCTGAAACTGCCTTAATGAAGGATTCCATCTAAAGATGAATTGCTTTGTTTGTGTTATCAAGCTGATGTACCTAGATTGGAAGTTGCTCTCTGTTGTGGTAGAAAACTTAAATGGATGCCAATAATTGCAAAGTTTCAAATAATCATTGTATCATTTCCAAAGTTAACAGGTTTTAGTGAGTCACTAATCTCTTGTACCCAAATAAACCAGGAGCAGGATTCCCAAAATTTATATTTATAATTTTATTAGAAACTACACAAATACAAATAAAAGCATGAGGGAAGGCTGCCCCAACAAGCTAGCAGTTTGGGGAGGTGAGGAGCTTGTAGGGCACCAAATTGTCCCCACATCAAGTTAGCCAGTATGACTTGTTCGGTCCCGAGTCAGCCACGCCCAGTGAGTGGCATTAAGCTGGCCACCCAGTTGGCCATGCTCACCCAGCCAGCCATGCCCAGTGAGCAGTGTCAAGCTGGCCATGCCCACCCAGTCAGCCACACCAACCCAATCGGCCACACCCACCCGGCCACCTGAGGTCAACCATAACCCTGATGTGGCCCTCCATGAAATTGAGTTTGACACCCCTGGTGTAGCTACATGACACAGATCTTACATGCCTAAGTTCATTTATAAGTTAAAAGATAGAATCTAACAGAATTCAAATACCTACCACAAAATAATTCAAATATTTGTTTTGACTTATCTATAAATTAGTTAAATATGATTCATCAAGTGATGTCAGGCACAACCACCAGTTCCCCACATGCAGAGTTTGTTCTAACTATTTTTTTTATGTTTTGCCTATAATTCCGAAATTTCCCCAATCTGACTGCCAACTTCTTTGAACAGTCCTGTGTCTGTAGAATTGTTTTAAAGTACAAGTTCAAATCAAATCAATTCTAATTCATCACCACTCAAATATGAAATATTAAATGCAAAGCCGATTTTAATTAAATGTTACATACATGGAGATATTTTCTCATCTGTGTTGCAAAATAGCTGCCACTGCTGACACATACACTGGGGTAAGATGATTAAATTGGAGAAACAATTTAAAAAAACATTTGACAGAAAGAGCTTCATACTTGGTTGTAAGCCACCTAGAGTTTAGTTTAATATGGGAGGCTACACAAATGCTTTAAATAAAAACATGCATAACATAATCCAAACCAAGTGCTGGCTTACCTTGTAATCAAAATTTTCATTTAAGAAGTTTTTGCGAAGGGCATCAGAAAGATATAACACTGTTGTAATAATAACACTATTAGAAAAACAAAAGATGGATTATATATTTAATTGTTCACATAGCAATATACATATTATTTTATATCTTTGTTCTTATTTTTTTATTAATACAAGAAACCATTTACAGAAAAAATGATACACAAATATAAATCTTTAAAATGGTCTGAAATAGGAGTCTATAAGTCTATACAGACTTTGAACCTCATCCTGTGAAGACTGAAATATTCTCAATACAGTAGTAGCCAAAATTATGGAAACCTTTTGGGAAAAGTGTGTTTTTGAGGTTTTTTTAAAAAAGTTTTTTTTATTTTTTAAAACAAACAAACAAACATACAATGCACCTTTTCTGAACAGAATATTGGCCCAGTTTTAAATTTGTACAGATTTTTGTTCATCTTTTAACAATTTTATATATTCAATTTTTCTTTTATTTTCTCTAAATTTAAAAAATCAATATTACCCTTCATCTTGATGTCTCATGCTAGTATAATTCCTTTTTTCTTTTCCCTCCTTAAAATTTGAACCCCTAAATTTAAATTCACATAACATAATACAATCCCCAATTATTTCCTTAAATTCTCTTATTCTACTCACCAATAATTCTTTTATCTTTTATAAATGGAAGACAAATGAAAAGTAATGTAAGGCAAATTGTTAACTTATTAGAGTATTTGGGAAGGAACAACCAGGTCCCCGCAGTGCTAGTTTTTCTAGATGCTGAAAAAGCCTTTGACAGATTGAATTGGCAATTCTTATTAAAACTAATAGAAAGGATGCAATTTGGAGAACATCTTATACAATCTGTTAAGGCAATATATCAAAAAAAAAACAGCGCAAATAATAATCAATGGTGGTTTACCAGATAATTTTAATATAGAAAAAGGAACAAGGCAAGGCTGTCCCTTGTCTCCGTTATTGTTTATTTTGACGCTGGAAATTTTCTTAAATAAAATATGTGGGAATGATATAATAAAGGGAATCAGAATTAGACGGCATGAATATAAGCTACGAGCATTTGCGGATGACCTGGTGGTTATCTTAGCCCAACCGGTACAATCGATTACAGCCTTGATGGATATAATCTGCTCATATGGACAAGTAACTGGTTTTAAAACAAAGATAATAGCTAAAAACATGGACAGAAGCCAGAAAGAAGAGATAGAAAGGTTAACAGGATTTGAAATAGCTAAGAAGGTTAAATATTTAGGGGTTTATATTATGACTGCAAATATGAAATTATATCAACATAATTATGAACCGTTATGGCAAAAAATACAGAAAGAGATGGAAAATTGGAAGAAATTGCAACTGTCTTTGCTGGGTAGGATAGCCACTGTAAAAATGAATATCTTACCAAGATTCTTATTTCTTTTTCAAATGATACCTATACTTAAAAAAGATGAAAATTTGAAGGAATGGCAGAAGGGTAGAAACAAGTTTGTGTGGGCTGGGAAGAAACCACGAGTTAATCAAAAGATAATGCAAGACACCTGAGAAAGAGGTGGTCTTAAAATGTCCAATTTAAGATAGTATTATGAAGCTGCTACCCTCTCAGCAATTACAGATAGGATAAATTTAACGGAGGAAGAGATACTGAATATTGAAGGATATGGTCTGGTCTCCGGCTGGCATGCTTATCTATTGTATGACAAGAAAGTAGATAAGACTTTTAAAAGTCACATATTAAGAAATGCTCTATTGCGTGTCTGGAAAAAGTTTAAATATAAACTAAAGGATAAGTTACCAATATGGACAGTACCCAGACATGCGATAGAGAATATAAATTTGGAGCAAAAGCAAGATAAGTTTACATATAAGGAACTCCTTTATAAGGAAGGAGTTAGATTACAATTAAAATCTATGGAGCAATTAAGAGAAGAAGGAATCATTAAGACTCGGTTTCAGTATGGTCAGTTGCTGGCCAGATGGAGAGAGGATCAAAAAACTGGTATTTTGCAGCAGGATGAGAATTTGATAAAGCAAATAAGAGATAAAGGTCAAATGCATATTAAAAGGTTGTATAATGTATTAGTGGAAATAGATTCGGAAACAGAGCTAGTCAAGGATTGTATGATAAAATGGGCACAAAACATAGGTGAACCAATAATGTTGGATACATGGGAAAAGATATGGGTTAGAAATGTAAGATTCACACAAGCTCAAAACTTAAGAGAGAACTTTTATAAAATGTTTTATAGATGGCATTTAGACCCAAAAAAACTAGCCTGCATGTATCCAAATCTACAACCTAAGTGTTGGCGATGTGAGTGTGAAGATGCGACATATTTTCATATATGGTGGACATGTAAAAAAATTAAGGCTTTTTGGATAAAAATATGGTGGATTATTCAAAATATTTTAAGGAAAAAAATTAAATTTACACCACAGGTTTTTTTGTTGGGAATAGTCACGGATTGTACTGTAATAGAGACTAAGTTGGTTTTGAATTTAATAACAGCTGCCAGGTTACTGGTGGCACAGTACTGGAAGAAGGAAGATCCACCTACCATTGAGGAGTGGACATTAAAAGTTGTGCATCTGGCTGAGATGGCAAAAATTTCATCATATCTTAAAGATCATTCAAATGAAAGATACATATCAGAATGGAGAAGATGGATTGACTATATACAAAAAAAGTATCCGAACAAGAAGATTCATATAGCTTATGAATGAAATATTTTTAAGTAGTTTATGTTTATAGTTTTTTTGAGCTATAAGGAGTTAAAGACTTAGGGAGAATATGAATGCAATAATTTGTTAGCATATTTTAGCTTTATGTTTGTGAATGCTATAACCTGTGCCTGTTCTGGAAGTCTAGGGAGGGGTTGGGGGGAAGGGGGGAGGGGGAAAGGGTGGGGGGGAAAATGTTTGTATTTCTTATAAAACTTTTCAATAAAAAAAAAATTCTTTTATCAACTATTCCAAATAATACATTTCAACAGTTAAACATATTCAATAAAGAAAAAAAATCAATTAAATATCAATCTTACTTTAATACCCCTATATTTAAATTCATATAACATAATACAATTCCCAATTATTTTCTTAAATTCTCTTATTCCAATCTCAAATAGTTTTTTTCTTTACTAATTATTCCAAATAGTACATTTTATTTTATTTATTTATTTATTTATTTGTTTCCATTTCTATACCGCCCTTCTCCAAACAGGACTCAGGGCGGTGAACAGCCAAAGTAAAAAACAGAACATACAAAATTTAAAAACAGTTTAAAATAATTAAATATTTTGGCCGTAAATTAAAACAACCCAATTTAAAATCTATTTAAAATTTAACTCAAGCCAGCCCAGCTAGTTGAAATAAATAGGTTTTCAGGGCCCGACGAAAAATCCGGAGGTCTGTTATTGTACGTATCTCTGGGGGGAGGTTGTTCCAGAGGGTGGGCGCCGCCACAGAGAAGGCTCTCCCCCTGGGGGTCGCCAGCCGACATTGTCTGGCGGACGGCACCCTGAGGAGGCCCACTCTGTGCGAGCGTACTGGCCGGTGGGAGGCTATTGGTGGCAGAAGGCGGTCTCGTAAGTACCCCGGCCCTAAGCCATGGAGCGCTTTAAAGGTGGTCACCAACACCTTGAAGCGCACCCGGAAGACCACCGGGAGCCAGTGCAGCTCACGCAGGAGAGGTGTCACATGGGAGCACCTCGTCGCCCCCATAATCCCCTGCGCGGCCACGTTCTGGACCAGCTGGAGCCTCCGGGTGCACCCCAGGGGGAGCCCCATGTAGGGAGCGTTGCAGTAGTCCAGGCGGGAAGTGACGAGTGCCTGAGTGACTGTGCGTAGGGAGTCCCGATCTAGAAAGAGGCGCAACTGGCGTATCAGGTGGACCTGATAAAAAGCCCCCCTGGCCACGGCCGTCAAATGATCTTCTAAAGACAGCCGTGCGTCCAGGAGGACGCCCAAGTTACGAGCCCTCTCCGTGAGGGCGATTCGCCCCCAATAGCCAGCAATGGCGGCAGCTGGCTATATCGGGATGGTGGAAGCCACAGCCACTCGGTCTTGGAGGGGTTGAGTCGGAGCCTGTTTCTCCTCATCCAGGCCCGCACGGCCTCCAGGCACTGGGACATCACTTCAAGGGCATTGTTGGGGTAGCCTGGGGTGGAGATGTACAGCTGGGTGTCATCAGAGTACTGATGGAACTCCACCCCGAAGCCTCGGATGATCTCACCCAGCGGCTTTACATAAATGTTGAACAGAAGGGGCAAGAGGACCGACCCTTGTGGCACCCCACAAGCAAGGTGCCTCGGGGTCGACCGCTGCCCCCCTGTCAACACAGATTGTGACCGGTCAGAGAGGTAGGAGGAGAACCACCGCAGAACGGTGCCCACCACCCCCAACCCTGCCAACCGGTGTAACATGATACCATGGTCGATGGTATCAAAAGCCGCTGAGAGGTCTAACAGGACCAGGATAGAGGAGCAACCCCTATCCCGAGCCCTCCAGAGATCATCCACCAACGCGACCAATGCCGTTTCCGTGCTTTGCCCAGGCCGGAAGCCGGACTGGAGCGGGTCTAGATAGACAGCTTCATCCAGGTACCGGGGAAGCTGCTGCGCTACCACACTCTCAACAACCTTTGCAATGAAGCGAAGGTTGGAGACTGGACGATAGTTAGCCAAAACAGCCGGATCCAGAGAGGGCTTCTTGAGGAGGGGCCTCACAACCGCTTCTTTCAAAGCAGCCGGCAGGATCCCCTCACTCAAAGAAGCGTTAACAATCTTCCGGAGCCAGCCTTGTGTCACCTCCCGGCAAGCCAGTACCAACCAGGAGGGACATGGGTCCAATAAACATGTGGTCGCATTCAGCCGTCCCAGGACCCTGTCCATGTCCTCGGGAGCCACAGGATCGAACTCCTCCCAGATAACACTCTCAAGACCTGCCTCAGTCATCCCGTCCGGACATACCCAGTCAGAGGCCAGCCCTTCCCGAATCTGAGCGATTTTGTCATACAGATACTTCACAAAGTCCTCAGCTCGGCCCTGCAAGGGGTCATCCCGCACTTCC